TTACAAATGTTTACTTACGTATTTATGATTGATGCATTAGGTTATAAGAGTTGAATGAAACCACTTGATGCATGTACATTCCTTGTCCAAATATTACACCTATAACCGGTATAGGTCCAGGATCGAATATATATGCTTAGCCATGCTTAGACCGGTAGAAGTCGGGTGATGTCCTGTCACCTGCGAGATATAGGTGGATACCGGAGCACGGTTGGCTATATCTGCTATCGTGGAACAGAACCATGTGGTAAAAGTAAATCGAGACCGGACGGAAAGTAGATAGAGAAGCAACAAGACATGGAGGTCTTGGGTGTGGATTTATCCCCGTCTATGTCGATTAAGGACCGTACCGTTGTTGGTGCTTCTGACAAGATTGAACGCATGCCTCTCACTTAGCTGGCGGATAACTCGTTCCGACCGCGGCCGAGTAATTCAACTCGGCCGGGAATCGTTCACAGCGCTCCCGGGGAACGATCGGACCGAGCCCAAAGGCGAGGCTTGGCTTCGAGCATCCTGGCATCCGGTGTTCCCAGTTGTGCGGCGTGATACGGACCGCTTGAAATGTGTACCTGAGTTGTATCAAAGGTGACCTAAGGCTATCGTGGGTGGTAGACTGGGTTTATGTTAGGAATAAATTCAATTTGGTTGAAATCGATTGAATCGCCGTCTCCCGGATAGTGAGAAACTTGGCTAGTCCCAACATCGTAGTAAGCGTGTTATGGAACATGATGGTTCGGACGAAAATGGAATTACAATACCTGCTATGGTTACTATTGTATGCTTCTAAAGGATGTACCACATGTTTGGCACAGGATAGTTGCTAACCTAAAAATGAATAGTTATAATTAACTTGGTAAAGAATTAGTAATTGTACCATGATTTAATTGCTTTTACGCAAAAATGTTGTCAAGTTACGTCCACTTATACAGCCTTGCATAATCCTTGGAGTCATTTTATTTTCTGGTTCATGACGGGTAAGTCTAGCTGAGTACCTTCTCGTACTCAGGGTTTATTTTCCCAATGTTGCAGATGGCACTGTGTATCATGGTTATTGCAAGAGTTGCTTCTATCCCGCTGTGGATGAGGAGTAAGCCTTGGGCAGGCTTCTTTAGTAATTCCTATCCTTACTTTTGTGGACCGTGATCTAGCTTGGCACTGAGTCATTTTATTTTCTGGTTCATGATGGGTAAGTCTAGCTGAGTACCTTCTCGTACTCAGGGTTTATTTTCCCAATGTTGCAGATGGCACTGTGTATCATGGTTATTGCAAGAGTTGCTTCTATCCCGCTGTGGATGAGGAGTAAGCCTTGGGCAGGCTTCTTTAGTAATTACTATCCTTGCTTTTGTGGACTGTGATCTAGCTTGGCACTGTATCAAACTATGTTGGAAACTTTATCTTCGAACTTATTTGCTTCCGCTTTATTTATCAAACTCGGTTTGTAATAACTTTTATTCGTACTCTGATGATGAAAAGTATCTGTGAACTTTATGTAATATGTGGCATGTATGTTGAATCCTGTACGATCTTGGTTGTTGTAAATCGTTTATCGAGACCCGTCGTGGTACTCGACGGACTACCGGGTTTATATGGGTTCAAGTATGACAGTGCGACCGCTTGTGGATTGCCATTGTACTTGTATTCTTATAAATTGGTCGGTTCTGCGACACTCGCTGTCGATGGGGACGTCATCTAACACTGAAAGCATAGAGCCAATAAATCTTGGAATAAATCCAGAAAAATACGAGCGCTCGTGCCAAGTCGAGGACTTAAACCCGGGTGGACAGATTCCACCACAAGATCTCAACCAACTGATCTCTGATCAGTTCGCGAACTATAGTGTTTGTTTGGTAGATCAGATTAGCTGATAAACCTGCTGCCGGCTGCCAGCGTGCCGCGCAGATCGACCAGGTAGCTAGCCATATCGCAATCTAAGCTAAGATGTTGCCGTGTGGGCTGAGGATGCTAATACTATTGGATATGTATGCATGGTTGTTGCTAGGGTTGGAGCATGAGTCGCTGACCGTCCGTTTGACCAGCATGAACTATGCTCATCACCTCACTCTCATGCATGCATAGCTCACCGGCATATACAGAGGGGATGGATGTCCAGGTCCCAGCGGTAGGTTAGGCGGAGCATCTCCGAGAGTTCCCTAAACATCTTTCTAATTCTTGTTTTTTAGAAAGATCGGGAAAAAACCCTCTCCAACAACTCCTAATCTTTTAGGGCTTGGAAAATTCCTCCCCCTTCCGCATAACTTTACGCGGACGAAGCCACGCTGTGAGACGCCGCCTCGTTGAGAGTCCTTCTTCCCGCGCCTTTCCCACCTTTCCGGCCGGGCGGCGGAAAAAGCAATTCGAGTGCGCACGAGCAGCAGCCAGGCAGCCAGGCACACTCGCGCGACCATGTGCCGGGCGGGCGGCGGAGGCAGCTCGCGCGGGCGCTGGCAGGAGCCGCCACGTCTGTTGCCATGCTGGGGTATGTGGCCACGGCGAAGGAGGTGTCTTCGGCGTTGGCGCCCGAGCCGCCATGCTGCAGGGCGTCAACGACCTCATTGACGTTGTCAAGGTCACCATGGGCCCCCAAGGTTCGCGCTCCTGCTTTGCCTCGGGAAGCTTTGCGTTGGTCGGGCAAGGCGGGCGTGATGCAGCGGCGACCGGCGTGGATCTAGTGGAACCGCTGGGCTTTCGATTCGATTGAGTGGGCTGATTGCTTGTGTTATGGGGCGCACTGTGATCATCGAGGGGTTCTGTAAAGGTCCCAAGGTCACGAAGGATGGGGTCACTGTTGCCAAGAGATTGGAGTTCGAGGATAGCGCTGAAGAATGTTGGGGCGAATCTGGTGAAGCAAGTTGCTGATGCTACGAACAAGGCTGCAGGGGATGCAGGTGGCGGCGGCGTGGATACACGCGGCGACGAAGAGGTTTGTGTGGAAAAAAAGAAGACTGCAGAAAAAAAACGTCAAATGGGACCAGCATTTGATTTTTTAGAAGTCAAATATTAGGAACTATTGGAGATGAACTTCTTTTTTTCTTCTAAAATTTTTTTAGGAGTTGGTAAACATAGATTTTTTAGAAGGTTTATTTAGGGAACTCTTGGAGATGCTCTGAGCATCTCCAAGAGTTCTCTATTTTTTCCTCCTAAAACTTGTAGTTTTACAGCTCCTAAAAAGGTATAAGAGCATCTTCAAGAGTTCTTTAAACATCCTCCTAATCCTTGTTTATTTAGAAAGATGGAAAAAAAAACCCTCTCCAACAACTCCTAATATTTACTCATAAACTTTTAGACTTGAAAAATTCCTCCCCCTTTCACGTAATTTTACGCGGACGAAGCCACGCGCAGAAGCCTCCTCCTCGTTGTACCCACCCTCTCCAAGCCTGGCGTCGACAAGCCCCGCCACCCCACGCGCCCTGACGCGCGGCAGGATCTGCGCCGTCAGGTTCTCGATCTCGGACGCCGCTCCGCCGCCGGCCGCTGGCAGGCCCGTGATGTCCTCGAGCAGGAGCACGCCGAAGGTGTAGACGTCGGACTTGCTGGACACGATGCCCGTGCGGAGGAAGAAAGGGTCGGCGTCGGCGAGGACGCGGATGTCCGCTTCGTCGAACCCGAAGCGCTCGACGAGGCAGCGGCGCATGCGTGTCACGTCGTTGAAGCAGCCCTTCAGCTCGTCGTCCCAGCCAGGGTAGTTGATGCCCACCAGCACCGCGCGCTTCCGCCCCATCGTCGTCGTTACGCCGCGCATGCACATGCAAGCGACGCGCTTAGCTAGGCTTCCTTGCTTGAGGTGGTGGGCTGGTGGCGGCCGTAATGGAACTCGATCGGGCTGGTGCGTGCGGCAACGAGTTGTCGATTGGCCTTTCTTTGGTGCCGATCTGGCAGCTCGTGCAGAGTTGGTGGAGCTCGAGTGCCGGTGCCCTCGTGCGAGGTGCAGTGTAGAGTTCATTCCCCTGCTATTTTCTATTCGCTGGAGACGCGGGTCACCGTGTACGAGTACATTAATTCATTCATACCCCACGGCCACGGCGGCGCGCGCCGGCGCCACCGCCGCCGAGAAGCCCTCGCAGGCGGAGCCCAGGTCGCAGAGCCGCGCGCCGCCGCCGGTGGCGCCGTCGAGGAGCACGTTGGACGCCGACACGTCGCCGTGCACCACGGCGGTGGAGGTGCTGCCGCCACCGTCGTGCAGGTGCTCCAACGCGCACGCCACGTCATGGAGGATGCGCATGCGCTGCGCCCACGACAGCGGGGCGGTGCCCGTCGCCGAGCCGTGGAGCACGTACGCTAGCGTGCCGCCGGCGAGGTACTCCAGCACCAGCGCGCCCTCTTCCTTTTTAAGAACTATAATTTTTTAGGAGGAATATTTATGTCGCAGTTCATTTATATTGGAGAAGTAAAGGTGGCACGAATCACGAGATTCTTCATCTCACGGCTGCATGTGTGAGAGCATATGCCCTGCAGAGCAAATTTAACTTTCCCGGTGATGGGGTATTTCCAACGGAGATGGTGGCCACGGTGATGGGGTCGCTGGACATCCCAGACCTGTTCCGCGCCGGCTGCGTCTGCTCCTCCTGGTACGCCGCCTACTCCGACGTCCGCCGCGTCCGCATCCCTATCACCGACACGGCTCCGTGCCTGCTCTACTCGGCCCGCCGCCCGCGGCGACGCCGACGCCAGCGCCGCCACGCTCTAAGCGTCACTAGCGGCGCGACGTTCAAGGTCCGCCTGCCGGACCCACCGCTGCGCAGCCGCGCGCTGGTCGGGTCGCGCACGGCTGGCTCGCCACGGCCGACGAGGCGTCCAACCTGCACCTCGTGAACCCGCTCTCGGGCGCGCAGGTCGCGCTGCCGCCCGTCGCGACGCTCCACCACGTGGAGAGCTTCCTGGACGGCGGGGGCAACCTCGTGTACTCCGTCCAGGAGGAGAGCGAGGACAGGGACAACCCCGAAGAGCCGCCGGTGCAGTAACCGGCGCAGAAGGTGCTCCTGTTTCTGTACTACAAGGTGGCAATGTCCTGCAGCCCTTCCAAGGGGAGAGACTGCGTCGTCCTGCTCCTGCACCGGCCGGACGGCGAGCTCTCCTTCGCCCGCGTCGGCGATGACCGATGGACTCACATCATTCGCCAGACGCTCAGATGGGTCAGCGGCTATCGTGACGCAATCTACAACGAGATTGATGGCTTGTTCTATGTGCTAAGCTTCGACGGCTCTATGAACACGTTGGATTTGGGTGACCCTTCTTCTCCGGTGTCCAAGGACATTATGCCGCTAGCGATACCGTGGGATGATCCTATCAAAGATCTTGTGCTCACACCGTCGGGTGATGTCTTGCAAGTGTGGAGGTTGAAAGAAATCGAGCGGTTAGCCACTCCCGTTGAGCTTTCCTGTGGGGGTTGCCCATGAGGTTGATGATCCATGCTTGGTATCTCGCATAACAGAGTCTTACATCCACAAGGTTGGCATTGATAAACAGGATCGCGTGAAGCTGACGAGCATTGGAGACCACGCTTTGTTTCTTGGTTATAATTCTGCGGTGTGCCTTTCTACCAAGGATTTCCACGGTTGAGTCCAGACTCTGCTTATGTTACCGATGGATTTGACGAAGAAATGTGTGGCAATAAGCACAATTTGAGGGAGATTGGCATCTGGGACTTCAAAACTGAGACACTACGTGGCCTTGGTGAGGTCCAATCTCGCAATCCATGGCTTAATTGGCCTGCACCAATTTGGATAACACCGTCTCTTCATTAGGGGGGAAGAATTATGCTGGAGAGATGTCCACAGTGGTAGTCCTACTGAACAACACATTCCCTAGTCCTATTGGTAGTCCGAGTAAAATCACCTATGTGCGGATGAACTACAGGAGAATTAAGAGGGCCATGTTTGGCGGGGCTTCAAGCGGCTTTTAGCTCCTTTCTACAATGTTAATAAGGAGCCGGAGATGACGACACAAAAAAGAACACTTTTTAAAATGTCACAAGTTGTTGTAATCCATGAAGCAAAAAAAATTGGCTTCACCAGATCTCAGTTTATTTAGGGTGGAAATTGAAAAGGAGCTTAATTAGTATTGACGTGGTGAAGTGAAGCTTAAAAAATTATTTCACCAACTCCTAACTCATTCAAAGTAAAAAGAGAAAAACTTTACAGGTAATGAAGAAAAGAAGCATTATGATTATGATGAGTAGCGGCGTGAACCATACGTGGAGGCGGCGGGGATTAGTATATATGTCAAAATTCGTCATAGTTGAAAAAAAATGCAGAAATATGTTAAAATGCAGCAGAATAAACTGTTATGAAATTCGGTGATGAACTGATAAATGATGTGATTTATTCAGAAAGAAGCATTTTATTGTCGCAACAAAAAGACTGATGTAACTTACTGTGCCATTGTCAGACCTCGTGAATGAACAATGAAATATAAGAACTGGACGTTCAGAACAGAGTGTTCCGTTCCGTGCTCCCAGAGTTGCAGGGCAGAGATGCAATGGGCATTCAGAACGAGACGGAGATGCCGAGGAGGTCAAGGACGCGAGCCACGAACTGCGCAAGGTCCGGCCAGCTCGCCGCCGTCACGAGACCCCATCAACGACCGCCCCATCGGTCTCGACGGCCTCGGCACCAGCCAGCCTGGAGACGACCCTCATGGGCACCCCGCTGGCGCACTTCCTGCCCCTGAGCAGCCCCGCCGCGGCGAGGAGCAGGTGCCCCTGGCCGATGCTGGCCACCACCTTGCCCTTGTCCGCGAACACCTGGCCCTGTCGTGCGTCACCAGCAGCTCGGGGGCACGGCCGCCCGGCACGACGACGCAGTCGAAGTCATCGGCGTTGGCGTCCGCCCAGTCGGCTGTCACGACGAAGTTGTGGCCCCGCCTCTCCTCGCTGACCGTGACCGTGGCGCCCGGCGGGGCCGGCGTGGCGGCGTCGTAGATCGCCGTGACGACGGACTCGCCCTTGCGCTTGGTCGGGCACGCGGATTCGACGTGGCAGCCCACGCCCGCTAGCGCCCGGAACGGCACGTTCGCCTCGTAGTCGTCCACGTAGTCCTGCACGCGGCCAATCAAGATCAGCGGCGGCGCCACGAGCGGCTGGCGAACAAGGCAAACTTCCAGAAGAAGGCCGGCGAGGGGGAAGGGAAAGGCGCTAGCTAGACAGCTCACGGCGCAGAGGACGAGGACACGCTGGCCGCCGCCGCGTCCGGGGTCGACGACGACGCGCGCGCCCATGGAGTCGAGGAGCTTGGCGAGGATCTGGGCGTGCGCGGGCCACCCGATGGCGGACAGCACGTGGCCGTCGGCGACGCAGAGCCCGAAGGGTTCCGGATCGCCCCACGTGCCCCCCCGCCATCTCCACGACGTGCCGCAAGCTGAAGAACGCCGTGCAGCGCACCCCGCCGCTGAGCCCGCCGGCGGCGGCGAGCAGGAGCTGGCTGTGGCACATGAGCACCAGGGCCCTCCGCAGCGCCGCGAACGCCGCGACGAGGTCCACGACGGCCGCGTCCGCGCTGAGCTGCTCCGTGAACCGCCCGCCCGGGATCACCAGCGCGTCGTAGCAAGATGGGTCCGCTGACGCCGCCGCGAAGTCGGCGGTTATCGTGAACCGGTGGCCCGTGAGCTCCGTGTAGAGCTGCGGGCGGCGTGCGTGCGTGAGGATCGATGGATGGGATGGGGTGGGGTGGCTGCTGGTTAGGAGTAGTACGTGACGTGACGTACCTCGAAGCCGAGGAAGTCGTGGACGGCGGTGAGGCAGGAGTCGCCGGGGCTCTTGCCGGTCGCGGCGCAGTCGACGGTGATGCCGAGGGCGGCGAGGGCGTAGAGCGGGACGGCGGCCTCGTAGTCCTCCATGTAGTCGCCGCAGAGCATGAGGACCTTCTTGGGGGCCGCCATGGATGGACCGATGGACCTGATCGATCCTTGCTCGCTCTTGACCTGCAAGCGTGCTAGTGAGTAGTGAGTAGTAGTGACACTGGCAGCTAGCGTAGGAGTGGGCGCGCTGGAGTAGCTCTGAGTTTCTGATCGATCTGCTCACGTCGATCACGACTGGTGGATCGACCGCTGAAAAAAATGATCCAAACATTCATGGTAGATGGGAACAGGATTATGAGCGCGAAAAAAAAAAGAGAAGGGGACAGGATTAGTGCAGTCCAATGCTAGCTAGAAACTACTATACATATTAGTTTTTATACGCTACATATAGAAATTATGGTCCTAATAAATAGTTTTTACAGAACAATTTTTTATCCTATCACATATTCTTTCTTCGTTCTCTACTAATCACATCTCTTCATGTCTTGGTTCTCGTGGTTTCTATGATTTTTGCTCTTTCTCTTTAATAACTATCTTGCCACATCAACAAAATGCTTAGATAGTAGTATAATTAATATTTATAGAAACTAAGATGGTTTCTGTACTGAGAGTGCACTTAGAAACGATAAGATCGAATCTCTGTTCCGGATCCCGAGTCCTGACGGGAAACAAACCGCGTAATAAAACGCACGTGTTCAGGGCATGGGCATCGCATGCGTCACGCGTGATCTCCGGATGTGCCACGGCCACGGATCGAGACGGCCAGAGAAATGCAGGCCCTGTACTTACTATACAGTAATTAGTATTAACATAACACGTGTCAGGAGAGGTTAAGTGACTACACACATGTGGATTGCTTATATTATCCGCCCCCAGCGGTGGATCTGGAAAAAATTTAGAGGGGGCTGAACAACACATATCTCCGACTACTGCTCGATCTTAAATCTTAACATAACCTACACTATAGAACTTTGTCTTAAAATTCATGGGGCTCCAGGGGGTTTCACTGCTCTGGTATGGGTAGGGGGGGCTCGAGCCTCTCCCTCCCCACCGTTGAATCCGCCCTTGTCCGCCCGTGAATCGGTAGAGTAATTTTCGTGCATGGTGCTGGGCGCGCCACGCCGTGATGATGATTTAGGCCGGTAATTAAACAGTCCAGTTGACTGATGTTGAGGACATCCTGGTTTGGAGATGGTCGGAGGATTTCACCAGCCATCATGCACCAGCCAGTTGCAAGTAAGAACTATTCTTTATCCACCGACCAGCAGTACTTTCAGTCATGACTTATAAGCCAATTTAGCCGAAACGAACAGGCTGAAGGATTGAACGCGGCCGAGCACTGCTTCCTATGCGACCAGGAACCTGAGACCATCGATCACAAAATAGCTTCCTGCTCGTTCTCCCGTCAGGTATGGTGGTACATCCTCGCACGTCTTGGCGCGAGAAAAAAAAAGCCGGTTAGGACTTAGAGGACGCACATGAATGAATATTGAAATGTTCCACCGATACAGTAGCCGTGCGGCCGTGCCAAACAAAGGCACGGGCCTGCGAGGCCCATCTTGTTATGATGTTTGGGCCCATCCGAAAAGGGAAGAGTCCCATGTGAGAAACGGCCCTCCAGGCCCATCTTGTTATGATGTTCGGGCCCATCCGAAAAAGGCCAAAATGGCTCCTTATGGGGTTTCGCCGAGTGGGCTTCCAGGCAGCAGCCCATCCCCACTGCAATTTGCTGATTTCCTGAATCCTGATGAAATAAATGTATGCAAATTCTGCTCAGGCGGTTGGTTGCCAGCCGTCACGCTGAAGATTCTGCCATCTAGTGTGGTCGGTAGAGCGGGACGGCGGGCCTCGTAGTCCTCCATGTAATCGCCGCGCGCAGAGCATGAGGACCTCCCTGGGGCCGCCTGCCATGGATGGACCTCATCAGAGACTCGGAGCTAGCAGTGTTTGCTAGTGAGTAGTGACACTGGCAGCGCGCGCGTAGCGAGGAGTAGCTCTGATGAGCATATGATCGATGATCTATCGCACGTCGACCGCTCAAAAATGGTCCAAATAACATTCATGCTAGATGGGGACAGAAATAATGTCGACGTGTCTGGTGAGCTCTAGCTAGGTTCCAGTTGGGCAAGCTACGATGAACTAATAGTACCTACGACTGCTATTCGTTTCAAAAAACAAACATACGTACCTACTGCTGGAGTATAGTTAGAGCTATAGTACAAACATACAATCTAATCCTGAATTCGTCGTGATAGTGCGGTAGTACCACCGATTGTTTGGTAGATCGATTAGCTGATGATGATAAACCTGCTGCTGCTGCTGCTGCTGGCTGCTGGCTGCTGGCTGCTGGCTGCTGCCAGAGCTACTAGTATGCATGTCACCCAGACCCAGATGGACCAGGTAGAGACATGCACCGTACTGATGTTGCCGTGTGTGTGCGCCGAGGAATAGTATTGGATATTGGATGATGCATGCTGCATAGTGCATACATATGTGCATATGGTGGCTGGTAGGTTGGAGGATGGGTCGCTGACCGTCCGTTTGACCAGCGGTGGCTACCACATAGTAACGTATATATACTGACCGAGACGTACAAGTATTAGCCTGGCCTACCGTGCCATGGCATCAGCTGTGCCTCTGCGCGCGAGTTCCCACTGCAACTAGCTTGACATAGCTTTTGTCGTAATTTTTATTAGACGAGAAAAGAAAAATAAAAAAACAGAGGACAAGAAAAAAAAACAACTGCAGCCTCAGCCCGTCAGCCGGGGAACACGCTTCGCCTCTCAGGCAACGCCTAGCCAGGCAAGCCATCCCAGGCGTAGGATTTCGTCCGCCTGGGTCACGATCGGTCACAATCCAAACACGTTCACCGGATCGATCCGTCACGTAATCTGACTGCAAACGCTCCGGATGCCTCCTGCGCATCAGCCTGATGGCTGACGGGTGTCCATCAAGGCCTTGTTTAGATTGCAAATTTTTGTAATGTGGACACTGTAGCACGTTTCGTTTGTATTTGACAAACTTTGTCCGATCATGGACTAATTAGGTTCAAAAGATTCGTCTCGTAATTTATAATCAAACTATGCAATTAGTTATTTTTTTTTACTT